TTCTTCTTCTTCTTCTTCTTCTTCTTCTTCTTCTTCTTCTTCTTCTTCTTCTTCTTCTTTTTCTTCTTCTTCTTCTTCTTCTTCTTCTTCTTCTTCTTCTTTGTAAGGGTACTATATAGATTGATTTTTACCATATCAAAGTAATGATAACACTGACTTAGAAATCATTTCACAAGAAGAATTCAGCTCCTCACATACTCAGAGATATTAAAAGTTTCATTGAGTTAAGCCGTCAACACCCTGTACATTTCTAAATAGCTGATTTTTGAAGAAAAATCACTTAATTGATTATGGTACAGTTGACAAATTACTCAGATGCCTACAGTGGAATTTTGTTTTATTCAATAATATTAGACTACTATCAGTGACAACTTTTTTCATTTCTAGTCATTATTTCTATTATGTCCAGCTTCTGTTAAAAATAAGGCAAGAGATTTGGTGGTAGAGACAGTGATTGGAAGGGTTTTGCCTGTTTGATTTTACTTGTTAGCCAATATCCATTACAAGAATGACTTTTAAGTGTACTTTGCTTTAAAGATTTTCGTCTTTCAGATCCCATTTAAATTTTATAAGGACTTGAAAAAGACATCAGAGAGAGAAAAAGTAGGAAGATTAAAATATTCTCAAGTTTTCTTTTTGGGTGGGAAAGCTAAGGGAGAGTGGGAACCTAGATTCTATTATGCCCCTTCTTTTTGTCCCTTCATTTGAATACCCCACCCCGCCAGAAAAAAAAAAACCCTCACCATTTCAGTTCCTGTCTTTTATTTTATCGTTAGTCTAATCCACATGAAAATTCATTAGTCAGCCCAATAGGGTGATGTTTCCTAGTTAACACTTGATGATCTACCTCATTTCACCCTTCCTGCTACTACCAAGGATTGTGGTCTAAGTGAAGGACATTTGCTGCTAGTATTTAATTTTTACTATGGTTAGGTAATGTTATCTCCATACTTTTTCTGATCAAGTTTCTCGTCCTATAAGATGGCTCCATATAAGAGAATTTTGACTGGGCCTATTTTAGTTTTTCTAATTGGTGGAATTTTCATTTGTTTTCCTAACTTTCGTTTTTGCTCTTCTCCACATATATAATATATACTGTTAATATTTATACTTTCCTGATCTCCCTGAAATTTATATTTTCACATTTAGAATTATTGACAACTTTCATTAACATAATTTCTAGTTAACTTCTAAGAAGTTTCTAAATGAAACTGCATCTAACAGAAATTGATTTTTTTAAAGTCGATTCATTCTACTTAATTTTCCGTTTATGGCAGTTTTAAGTGCAAATTAACTTCAGTAAATTTACTTGGTAAATGTTAATGATAAATTATTTTATTAAAATATGAATAAAATTTACTACACTCACTTTAATTTTGGATTTTTACATATAAACTTATATTTGTCTAGGTTTACATAATTTCTTTTTTATAAGTATGTGTCACTTATCAAAAGTGGCATTCCCCAGAATATTTATGAATTTATATCTTTATTCAGATTTCTAGTTTAATATATATATTAACAAGTGATTATTCATGCCTATTCTTTTTTCCTTTCTGTTGTTAGTCTCTTAAGTACTGAAGGTATTACTATTTTCTAAATAATTTCAATTGGTTTAAGTATAAGTTAGCTAACTCCTGAAATACATCTTATCCAAGCTTTTGTATTTGTCTTCTCAAATTTTATACATACTAATTCCACATATTTAAATTTTTTATCTTTTGAGGGAAGGCTAATACTTTTTTTACATTATAGCTAAGACTTTAGAATGAAAGGACTGTAGTTTTTCACGATTTCAATTATGAATGTCCCCAGTTTAGGTCCTTAGTATAAAATGACCTAATACTCTATCTCATAGGTTGTCGTGAGGGTTAACTCAATGAAAATGCTTTAACATATAAAGTGATTAAGTGATTGTGTAACAGTATTTACTGGACATATGTCTGAAAGTCTGTTTTGTTCACTAATCTTTTTGGGGGCTTTAAAATCAACTTTCCAAGCTCATTGTTTTATTTCTGCAATCCAGTGTTTAGCTTAATGTTGAGGTATTTGATATTTTTTTATTTTTTGTTTTGAGGTACTTAAAAAGTAGTGTTGGTTCTTGTACCATTCATTGTTATGTTTGTCCTCATTAGTTGATTGTTGTGTGTTAAACAGACATCCCTGGAGCTTACTCTCCACACTCTGTGAATCCACTCATTAATCACCAGTCACCTTTGGAGATGGGAAAATTACTTACCTGTATTTCTTTTTCTCAGAAAGCGTGCTCTGGAATGGATTCACAAATGAGCTACCCTCCTTCCCTCAAAGAGTAAGGTTTCTGCTTTACAGGATTTTTTTTCTTGGGTTATTTTTCCTCTCATCTTTTGAATTTGAAAAGAACTGAGGGAAGGCACCTGAAGAAACTACTGACATACTCACTAGGGGAGCTCCAAAGCTTGTGCTGCCCCTAGGGGCAGTGTCAATGGCTCTTAAAGCTAGAAAGCTCATACTTGGAGTTGAAACAGGGGCTCAAAGAATCCATTTTCCCAGTGTACCTTCTGAAAGGATAAGTTTCAGGTAAGTAATTTTCTCTTACTATGTGATATGCTTTATTCATACTTATAAAAGTATACAAGTCCAGTTCTCCAGGTACATAGGCAACTGTGTTTGCTCAGTTGAGATGCATAAGCTTTACTGAATGTTAGAAGTATTATAAAACAAAATGTCTGCTCATGAGTTTCACGAAATCATAATATATTTTAAGTCAACAATAAATGTTTGATTAAAGGTGCACTTATGAACAGTGTATTGTGCTAGTGTTGTCATTTCGTTTATTTCTCATTAAATAAAATCTTGATAAGCTTCTTTTTAATAATTAGATAGAAAAGATTTTTTGCATTCAAATTCCAAGAGGTGTTTAACTAAAGTTGTGTGTGTGTGTGCGCGTGTGCGTGTGCACACACCTTCCCCACCCCCACCCCCACATATAGGCTAGGATGATGGAAACTATTTACTTTGAATTAGATGCTTTTTGTATGTATATTGACCAGAATGAATTACTCAAGTAACTTCTAAATGCTTGTACAATTTTTAAAAATTATTCTAAGTTTGAGCTGTTTAAGTAAGCTACATTTTCAGTGTAGTAGCTTTATATAGTGTGGATTTAGCTACTTAATTGATATATTACTTAGAGCCCATAAAATATTTCTACTCGATTCTTCAGCTACAAAATGCAAATACCTAAGGAGTAGCAAGAGGTAGATAGCAAATGTTAAACATTTACTCATCGATTTCCTGTGCATTTTGTCATTCTTTTTAAATCACATGTTGATTTAGTATTTTAAAGTATTCAAAATATCTTATGTATTTTTCTCTTACTTCAGAAGTAGTTTTTAAGTGAAAGTTACAGTGAAAATGGTCCATGTGAACAAGGCAGTATTTCTAAATACAGTTAGACTTTTTACTTGTGATTAAGGCAGGTTTGACCAACTTCAGTCATTTGGAACAGCAGTTCTGAACTCGGAAATAAGCAGAAAAGACTTTTGAGTAGCAAATGGTTATCACAAAGTACATGCATTTTTCTCTGTACTTGAAGAGTAGCAGTTTTCAGATTAGATAGTTACGTCCCAGTCACAGGGATTATTGACAGCTAAAACTACAGCTATCTCCTGAAACAAGGAAAAGAGAATGCATTAGGATAAACCTGAAGTAGTTCAGATTCAAAGAATATTCATCTTGATTGCTTCCAAGGATATTACTCTTACTACAGTTGACAGTGAGTCAGAAGTTTCTTGTCTTAAGATTATTCATTTAATTGTTCATTCATTTCACAAAAGATTTGGGGCCACTCTATCAAAAGACCTTTGAAATAGAAGTAGAGATTTAGTACCAGTGAATTGAATCAAGAAGTTACTGCAACAGACTTTAGATTTGACTTTGAGCCTTCCAATAGCCATCTGGCAAATAGGAAAAATAGGGTCAATTTATATAGTTCTCATTATTAGGTAGGAGTAAATGTGTACATTCTGTAAAGAAAAGCAAAACTATACCTAGCTCTAACTTTTGAAAGAAATGTCTGATGAGTTATTTAATATAAGGGCATCATTGAGTGATGAATTGTCACTGTTTAAGAATTTTTTTTAGTGCAAGGACTGTAATGGATCTCATAGTTATGGCGACATGTAGTATTCTTCAATGTTTACAAAAATGGTTGTTATATTCAGAAAGCAGATAATTGTCTCAGAACCTTATTGCTTGATTCTAGGATATCATGAATTCTAAGACGCAATATTGATTTAATAGAAGCTCTTGAGGGAAAGTAAGAACTGTTACATGAGTAATCGTACATATTAATATATGTGAAAAGTTAAAATGTGAAAGTTAAGGACATACAGTATATTCTAGAAAGATGACCATCAAAAATGATCAACATCAACAAGTAAAGGAAGTGTTGAGAACTGTGATGTGTCTTTTTTTCCAAAAAAGAGCACAAAAAGAGTTTTACTATTGCTTGTCATTTATAAGATGATGTTTTTTAGTAAGATAAACAGAGAACTTAAAAATCATAATTATCCAGCCAAAGAAACCCATCTTCTCAGGTGTGAGGATAATAATTGTATATGTGAACTTTGCTCTAAAAATGAAGCACAAGAGACAGAGTGTGCCTATATGACTGGTGTACTCACATACCATTAAAATGCATTTTGGTGAATCTTTAAAAATAACTAAATATAAAAATAATGAGTTCTAAGAAATATAGGCATCACAGAAATACAAGTGTAGATGTATCTGAAATAAAACATAGTGGAATAACATACCACAATTATTTATGAGTATGTTTAACTTTTGGTTTTTATATGACTATGTAGGGAGCCAAATTTATTACCTGAGCCTTTTGTTTTCTGTCTTCTTTTCAAGCTTCTTCCAGTTTACCCTCTGTGTTTCTTGGAGAAGAGCTACACATTGAATGTTCTGTGCTTGCACTCTTACTGAGATATTATTGTCAGCGTAGGACTATTATATTTATTCTTTTGTGCCTCCTGTTCTAAGGCACTTGTATTGATCTTTTTCAAGTAGAGAGTTTTGCAAAAATGAGATAAATATTTTTATTGAGGTCATAAAAATCACATAAGCCACATGTATCTCTGACCTGCACTTTTTTTTTCTGTAATAGAGATCAAATCTTTGCATTTATATAGCAAAAGCTAAGCTTTCATTGATCTGTTACATTGAGATAGTTTCCTTAAACCAGATTTCCTTGAATCATATTCTTTGGGTTTACCTTCCATTACAGACTGATATAATATGTTTAACAATGCTTCTAACTTTTAAGCTGTTTTGTTTCCTTAGTCTTTTGTATTGCTTGTGACTCTAAGGTTCTACAGTTTGAAGTAGTTTTTAACATCATAAAACACTGGTGATATATCATTTCTTTATTACTTCCCAAATATGCCTTTTATTTTTATGTACAAGGGCTCTTGGGAATGATTCTCTCAGAGGCGTAAGCTGTGCTTTGCCTTCCATGAGAACTGAAATTATTTGGTAAGCGCTTGCTTTCTTTTTAGCTTCTAATTTTTCCCTATTTTATTTTGTACATGATATTTGTTTCAAGGTCAAAGGTTCCGTTACAGTTACTATGATGAATCCCAGGGGGAGATTTATAGATCCATTGAACATCTAGATAAAATGGTAAGTCTTACAGGTGTGGGGTTTTAATGCTCTAAGGTGTTTTCTTTAATTTCAGATTAGTGATTCAAGACTTAATATGTTGAAATATACAGTGGACTAATAATTCTTTCCCTATCTTTATTTAACTGTGCAAAATATAGTTTACAATCATATGAATATTGATTATAAAAATAATCCCTTTTCTATTAGTTGAAATTTCCTTTATCTTAATTTTATTTGATTAATGAGACTAAGAATAATATACAGATTTTAGATGCTATTTGGGGGAGTGTCTAAGGTTTAGGGATGACAGGATACTAATGCCATAACTTTCTTTTAAGCAAAAACAACCGTAGCAAATTCTTAGTTTATTTTATTACTTAATTATATTTTTTGGCCATTTGGATTTTCTTAAATGGTGTTTCATTTTGTTGTTTAAATAGAGAATTTAAAAATATGATTGTATTCTTATCTGGCCCAGTACAATAGACAATGATCCTGCTGTCATTTTCCTTAAAGTAGTATGGTAGTCATAGTACTTGTTTTCATAGTTAAAAAGTCATGCAAATCATTTTGTTGTTTTTTTTAACTTATAAATAGAATATTAAATATAGCGGATATATCACTTATTGGCTTTGACCTTTGACAGATCATTTCATTTCTCTAGTCCTCAATTTGTCATCTCTAAGATAAGAGACTTGGAATAGGTGGTCTCTAAATTGTCTTTAAACTCTGTCAGACTTAAAGTCTGTGATATGTTTGAAATCAACTTTACCACTGTTTGAAAAGCTTTATGCATATGTTTTAGTATAAAAATATTTAGTCTAAAGTAGGTAAAACGTTTTAGTAAGGAATCTGGATCTAAAACTATAGGTAGGTTATACCTTGTATATTTTATTAAAAGCCAAATGGAATGAATGCAAATTTAGTTACCTAGGAGATTTTATTATATTTAGATTTTATCATATTCAAATTTATCTTATTACTTAGATCCATTTATGGCCTAATACTTTTACCTTTAGAATTTCATTTGGACTTAATCTACTGACTTTTCTTTTGGCTTTATGATGTCATGTCAGTCATTTAACTCTTTTCTGGCTTCTAGTTCTGATCTTATTTTTCTGAGGCTTAGTTCTCAGTTGCCTCAGAAAACTTTTCTGGTTATGTCATCATTTATTTTCTTCATGTAGCAAGTGGTTAATGGGTGTCTCCTGTATGTCTGGTACTGTGTGAAATATTGAAGATGTTAAGAAGATAAAACATTGTCTCTCACTTAATAGAACTTACAGTACAGTCATTGAACAGACTTAGAAAGAAGCTATTCCAATACAGAAATGTAAGAGATATTTAGGACACATGCTCTCCTTGTTCTGTGAGAATGATCTAGATGTGCCTACCGTAGGGCTTTGGCCCTTTTTATACTTGACTGTCTGACTTTGTGGCTTTGCTCAGCTTTACCTTCCCAAGGCGCACCGACTATCCTGTTTAATTTTGCATCATACACTCCACCTTCTCAGCATTCCCAACCTACCTTACCCTGCTGCAGTTTTTCTTTCAACAAACTAAATATTCTACTTATTATAGTTTTGTTAGGATATTTATTTTGTTCTCCGATGTATCCAAAGTGCTTAGAATAGTGATTAGAACATTAGTAGGTGCTCAGTGAATATTATTCAAGTGAATAAAATAATATAATCTTCCTATATACATAATTAAATTAAATGAATACCCTAACTGTAGTATGAGAAAGAAATAAAGGGAAAGTAATTTATGATAAACTAACATATTTTTAATAATGTAAGTGCCCAAATACCAACTATATTAGAAGACACTGTGAAGTAGATGCTTATTACACATTGTATCATTACTATAATAGCTATCATTCCAAACCTAAACAGTTATATTTGTGACTCATATTACTAAGGTGCTTTGCTGGGTGACTTTGATTTTCCAAAATGGTGAGCAATTTTTAGTAAAGTTGTAAACTAAACAAAGTACAGCCTTCCCTTACTTTATATAAATATGGCAATTCCTTGGAAATCTGCTGTATATTAAAACCATGCAAAACTTCTTAGTATTTATATATAAAATAGAGTTAAGGGTCTAGATAATTATAAGCAGGTTTTTCACCTATATGGACATGTCAAGAGTGTTATGGGATGAGAACAATTATTTGTGTTTGGGACTATCTTGTATTATAGGACAATCAGCGTCTCTGGGCACCACCCATTAGCATCTTCTAATTATTGGGACAACCCAAAAATGTGCCCACAATTTTCCATTATGTCCCTATGGTAAACAGTTGTTCCATGATCTTACCCTACTTAAGTTTTCTTCTCAGTTTTAATTACTCTGTGACTTATTATTTGTTGATTCATTTGGTGATAACCTCCCCTGTGGGATTGTAAGCTTCATGAAATCAGGATCTTCGTCCATTTTGTATCAGCCTTTCACCGGGTACTCAATATATGTAGTTGTTGAGTGATTCAGTGGTTGAATGGGTGGGGGTAGTGGTGAGAAATGAAGCTAGAGAATCTAGAACAGGTTGTTTATTTATTTTAAAGATTTTATTTTTTTTATTTGTCAGAGAGAGAGAGAGTGTGTGTGTGTGCGCATGTACAAGCAGGGGGGAATGGCAGGCAGAGGGAGAAGCAGACTCCCCACTGAGCAGGGAGCCCGACATGGGACTTGATCCCAGGACCCTGAGATTGTGACCTGAACCCAAGGCAGACGCTTAACCGACTGAACCACCAAGGCACCCCTGGAATATGCTGTTTAAAGGATATTAAATAGGAAAGTGATAAAATCAGATTGTATTTGAATAGATCATATAGCTGCAGTGTAGCAGGTGGGTTTGGAGGAAGGTCAGAGGAGAAATGAGTAGACCAGTTTGGTAATCCAGGTGACAAATGGTAATTTAGACAGTGGATGGGGTGGTGATGGTGGAAGAGGGACAGAGTGGATATATTCAGTATATAAGAGACAAACTGATGATAGGACTTGGAGATTGATTGAACTTGCCAGGGAAGGAAGTATCAAGAATAACTCCTAAATGTCTGGCTTATGCTGCTGGTGGGGTGTTGGTACTGTTCACTTAGGTTTAAAGCACAAGAAGATAGGACTGATGTTTTAGGAGGTAGGGAAATCATAAATCATATTAGCGATATGTTGTATTTGCTGTTGCCTTTAAGACATCCAATGTCAAGTTGGCATTTGGATTTTCATTTTGCCAATTATTATTATTACTGTTATTTTTAAAGATTTTATTTATTTGACAGAGAGACAGACAGCAAGAGAGGGAACACAAGCAGGGGGAGTGGGAAAGGGAGAAGCAGCCTTCCTGTGGAGCAGGGAGCCCAATGCGGGGCTCGATCCCAGGACCCTGGGACCATGACCTGAGCCGAAGGCAGACGCTTAACGACTGAGCCACCCAGGTGCCCCATTTTGCCACTTACTTTTGAGTGCACTTACAGCCCTAGGCACCGTTGGAGTTATGGCAGTAAACAAACACACTTTCACACAACTTTTATTCTAACAGGAGGAGACACAGTTTTTAAAAAAACCAGTAAAGAGATATATATATATATATATATATATATATATATATATATATATATA